AAGGAAGGAAGGAAGGAAAGAAGGAAGGAAAGGAACTAAATAAATAGTTTACAACAGCTATGATTGTTCTTACCAAAAGTAAATCACTTGAAAGGAAATTTGATTCCACATTAAATGTTTTGAGCGTCTTGTTCGTTTTCAGTACACCTACAAATTTCTGGAGTGAAACACGAAAATAGGAGAAGATCAAACTATATTTACTGTATATCTCATTAGAAAAACTTCAAGCCTTTAAAAAAAATTGCAAGGATAAAAAGTTTGGTGAATAACTTAATGACTGGGTGAATAAGTAAATGGTTGTTATATGGTTGGCAATACCAGAATGCACCTTGTTCTTCCCTTGCCCCAAGGATGTGCCTTAACTCACCTTGCCAATCATGGATGACATCTGAGTGTTAGAAAGCTCAAGATGCTTCAGATGATCATTCGTCATCATTAGATCAGCAATTTCTTCCAAAATTGCCGGCGTCACATCCTTATGGTTGTTAAGGTTTAGTTTGGTCAGACTTGGATCATTTTCCCTCAGCTTTTTCATGGCTTTTTCTAAATCAAGTTCATTGACTGCAGTTAGGTCTGTCTTCTTGACTCTGGCACCCATTACAATTCCTATGGCGACAAAAGAAAATAATCCCCTGTGAGAGAGACAGAAGGCAAGGTATCTCCTTTATGGGTGCTCTCTCTTACCTGGAGTATATTTCTTCAAGCCGCTGCCCTTCAAAACACGACCAGAGGACTCTTTCTCTGCCTGGTGACTCTGTGCTTGAGTCAGCATTTGATGAATTCCAAGCACCCCTAAAATATAATTAGACTGTTTTATTAACCTTTGAGTTAGGAATTGTAACACACAAAATGATATCCAAATAATTAAAACAGGCCGGCAGTTCTTGTATGTGCAGTGCATCTTATTTAGCTCATAAAAAATGCACCTCTTGTGCAAAGTATGACATGCTCCAAATATTGGTACTCTAAAATTATCTTCAGTTTGAACCCTAGCTAAACCCACAATACTGTATATACACCTAACTGAAAAAACGTTGTCGGGTTCGAGAAGGTCATGTCATTGAAGCTAAGACCAAAAAGGATTTGTGTGCACAGGAAGGGAAAACTGCAATACGCATGAAATTAACATAATTGTTTGTCTTCCCATGCTCCCCTTCAGTCTTAGCTTTGATGATATAACTTTTATTTGAACCCAACATTTTTTCATTTAGGTGTATATGATCAAGAAATGTTTGCAGATAATCCCTCCTGTGCTTCAAGTGTTTTGCAACAGAGTCAGTTTTAAAGTGGAAAAACTCAGATTTCTGAAAGCTGTTCACTCTTTACTTTTATAGCTATACACTGCTTTCACAACTGGCTTCTGCTAATTTACACAAACTTGGAAAATCAATGTCTTTGGAGGGGAACCCTTTTAAGCATTAAGCTTGTTGAATTAGATAATATGTATGACTTTCTAATGAAGGTGTAATAAATCCTTGATACGATGTGACCATTTGAGGGCTTGAAAATAAAATAAATAAATCACTTTATTTACGTGTCTAGTCATTCTAGCGTTTTCGCACTAATTGGGGACACTTTTCGCTCACATGCACTACCACTACATTTAATATTCTATGCACACAACGCTCAACTCACATGTTGATTTTTACCATGCAACCACGAATGAAAATCAAAATGCACCACAACAGAGCCACCAAGGCTTCCAGTGATAATACATACATACAAAACTCTATATATTTTTTGATCTTTCATAATTTCTTTGGTATTCAGTAAAATTTAACAAAAGAAAATTGATTTAAATTTCATGACGTACTTTCTCAAATAGCATTGCTATTTTCTGGTAAAAAGGTCTCATTTTGTCTATCAGAAAGAAACTGAGCTATGAGAGTCGTGTATATCATAACAATGAATCTACTTACCAGCTAATTCAAGAAGTTCTTCTTCTGTAGCATTTTCCAGCACATCACTCAGATCGTCAGGAAGAGCTTGTTCTTCTTCATGTTTTTGAGTGTCCTTTGGTACAAAAACTTTTCCTCTAGTTTCTTTCTTGTATGGCATGAGATCCTCTCTCTCAGCTTCATTCTTTGCTTGCTCTTCTAAATGTTCAAGTAACTTTTCACGATTGAAAGGACCTGTAGGTGCCTTGTCTGTTTTGTAATCATTTCTCATGTGTGAAGGGAGAAGGGCATTCTGCAAACAAATAATTTTTTAAATCAAACGGATGCACAGCAAACAGGCATATTCAATTACAGTACTTAAATAGAGCTATGTAGAGTGCAAACAATTAATCCATGAGACACTGATCACTAAATAGTACAAAATAGTGCTAATTAAACAATAGAAAACAATGGAATTTGCATGAAATTGTGCTATTTAGTATAACTCAAGTTTCACGGTTATATTGTTTGCACTCTAATGTGCTGAGTTAGATTAATGAGTAAAATTTTTGGTCTTTGAATCCACAGGGAGCCCAATGTATGAATTAATAAAAAATTGGATTTAAAGTACATAATGACTACTTGTTTTATACTATAAATACATTGTAAACAAGTTGATCTCACTTAACAGTATCTGAAGAACATAAACAATGGAATTTCCTGTCATGAGCCATTTCATCTCATAAAATGCAGCGTTTGAGGATCTTTAGGTTTAAGTAACACATATCGCTGTTGAAAGATTCCCTTGATTTAAAATGGTTAGAGTTACTATTGAAAACTCTTATTTTGGATACTTCTTACAGACATGAAAAGTTTGTTAGCTGAAAATATTTTCTTATTATCAAAATTTAACAGGGAGATACAGTACTTCCATGTGTATAACGCAATCCAATGGATTAAAACTAGTGGTCAAAACAAAACTACTAAGCAAAATGCACAGCAGTAATTGGATTTCAGATTTATTTAAAGCTGAGCTGTTCATATTTTTAAAACAGTAAACATGATGTTAGCACCGATGTTTGCTCGCCATATTTTAAATCATGCACTGAAACATTCTTTGAAAGTGCTCAGCAGTAAACATATTTAATCTTTTCTAAGAAGAACGTTTTATTGACAGCAATTTAGTTGACTGCAATTTAGTTAATAATATAAGATTTAAAAAGCAGTACTTGTATTGGGATCGAGAGCATTTTAATTGTTGACAACTACGAGAACCAGTTGAGTGAATTGTTTCCTAAGGAGTTCGCATAACGAACTTTGGACCTGTAAACTGAAACCAGGTCGTAAGATGACAAAACGACTGGCATCGAACTCAAAGCAATTCAAAGTGATCACATGGTACATAATCCATACATCTCATTGGTTGAAAGGGTGGCAACGCCCACTTTGGGCCTACCTTCTTAATTTTTAGTAAAAAGAAAATACAACAGAAACTGGGCTCCCTGTTTTAAGGACATATTTGGGGTTTTTCATAATAAGATATAGGGGGCTTATTAGAAAAGGCAAAGATGGCGGTTCAAATTGAAGAAAACTAAGGAGATTAAACGACCCTTTAATTCATGTTTATTCATGGAAGACTAACGTAACAGTCGATAAAACATAGACAGACAGATAGTGATATATTTGTTCTACTAAGAAGCATAACTCCCCCTCACAAACCAAATAGACTCCAGCAGCCCATGGTTACTGTAGATGGTCAAATTTCCTTTCAAAAAAGGAAGGCTAGAAAATCAATGCATGATAAACATGTAGATATAAACTAAGAGACCAGCTTATTAAGAAAATGCTTTGTTGTATCGACCGTGAAGATTCTAATAGTAAAAGTAAAACAATGGTACTGGATGATGTGCAATGTGAAGAAATTCAAATAGATAAAATGTCATGCAAGTTCAACTTGTAACTCATTCAAAATATTTTAGAATTAGATCTTATTAACCGAGCGGGAGGTCWGTACGGGATAATCTTGACCGAGGTCGGAATGTACTGACCAAGCAAGCAAGGCCTGTACCCGACCAAGTTCAAGATTATCCCGTACAGACCGACCAAGCTCGGTTGATAAGAGTTTTATTATATGACCACTTTTCATTGAAAAGGACAAAATGTTTTCGCCATAAGCTTAATATGCGATCGGACTGGTTAATACCGGAGAATCTAGACTAGACAGCAATGCGATCTATCCAATCAGATTGCTCAATTTGCTAGTGTCCAGGCTCTAAGATTCACGGTCATATAAAAAAATATTTTATTAACCTCACTAAGGTTATTCAAAAATTCTATTAGTTAAAGGGATCTCCTTCTGTAAACTCAAAAAGTTCTTTAAAGGGGCACTTGGATGAAAATGAATAAGATTGGAAATGACTTAATTATCAATTTTATTCAGCATATAAATTATGAGTAAATGATGTCAATCCTATTGTTCTTTTCTCTTTTAACCCAAAATTTCTCAACTGCAAGTGGCTCCCAGGCAAAAAATTTCACTAATCTGGTTTACATATACATAATTGAGTCAAATTATCCACAAATACTTCAATTACTCGACTTTGAAAAAAAATTTGGGCATTTTCATCCAAGTACCCCTTTAAGAGAATTTAGTTCACTTGAGACAGCAATAAATTGGAGTGTTTACAGCCTAATTATGCAGTTATTCCTTTGTCAATCCTTTGGTTGTTTTTCACTTAAAACTATTAATTAACTTCATTTCATGCACTGTGCAGTGAGATCTTTAACATAATTCTAAGGCCGCAAGAACAGGAAAAGTTGTTGTCAATACTAGGGAAATTTATACAGAATGAAGGAGAATCTAACATCAATTTGTTCCTTTGACGTCACATTCAACTAGATCATCACTCTACTCAGCCAGAATTCAAAGTTGAGATGCAATTTACAAGGTTTGTCTGCTCAGAATCAAAAAATTATTTTGATGTATTTTAGAATGACTTGTATTTTGACGCCTAAAGTAAAAATAATAAGCGTTATAGGCACTTAAAGAATAAACCTTTTAATTGCAATTATTATGCAGTCACTGCTGAATTGCATTGCACCTTGACATTGGGCTTCATGATGTACATGTAGCTTACAACCAAATCAACCTAAAGCTTGTTGTTTAAAAAGAAAAGATCTAGCAGATTAAAACACTAAATATGTTGTTTTTTTCAAGCTGCAATATATATATGCCTTCCAAAAATTCCCCAAAAATATATGTAAGCTGACTAAAATATAATAATAAATAAATGAATATAAGGCAATACGGATGTTGTTGACCGATCACCAATTCTGTGAACTTGGTAGCTATAGCTGCAAGCTGCCTGCAGGAGCTTAGTTTTTTACTGCTGCCAGTCAAAAATATAAAAGGTACAGGCTGATTATTTTTGATCAACAGCAGCAAAAAATAATAAATAATTCACAATGCAGCTTGCAACTTACCAAGTCTGTGCAATGTTGAAAATGTCAGTACTAGTGTAAGTACTATCTTTATTACGTATGCTATATAGCTGAATTGCATTATCAAGAGGTTTAGGTCATATTATTAATGTATTCAATGAATTTGCTCAGCTGTTGATTATCACAGAAGGCAAAATGCACTAAGACACATCATATTGATATTACCTAGAGTCCTATGTCATATTCAGAAACTGGCTTAACACTAATGTGTAAAAAATACGACGGAAGTTTACGAATTTTGATATACCGTATGGAAGTTATTTTTCTATCAAAGTCTACAAACAATTAATCTTGACTAGTACTCCATGGCTTGGCTACAAGCCAGCACGCTATATGGCATTTTATCGAGTATTGAAGATAATTTAGCAATATTTTGTAAAACTGTAAATCGTTTAAAGAATATAAGAATAAAGAGAAAGGAAAAAAGCTCATGAATGCCGGGGCGATAGTGCAATGATTCGAAGAATCACTCGTGGGCAAGTCGAACGCACGCAGATCAAAGCTTCGGGTTTGAACGATTATATACGAACCAAGTCTATATTTTTTGCAAAGAAATATGCTTATAAAACTAGTTTTTCAATCCTTATCGACCTTACTAGCAATCTGGAAGATACGTTTAATAATATTTTAGCTGAAAGAATGGTTATGTAGCCTCGTGGCAGACCTATTTGATAAGTTTTACAGAGTGAAGCATAAGTGTAAACAAGTGTTTAGGTATGGCGTAGCTGAAAAGCAAGATTTTTAGCAAGGGATTGTTACCTCGGGGTCGATGGATGCATTCAGTTCCCTTATTTCATCTTCTGTAAGTCCTTCAACGATGAGATCTTCATCGATATCTTGGTATTTGGAGAGATCCACGGGCTCTTTCTTCTGTTTAATCCAAGACATGGCGACCGACAGAACAAAAACGTCGAGAACAGCCTTTCAAATCTGTGATATTTTTTGCTATTTCCAAACTAAGAAAGCCCAAGTTCAGCGAAGTATGATATCTTGAAGACTTTAAGGGGTATTCTGGAGGATTCTTGAAAATATGCTGGAAGTAAATCGAGGTAAAATACGAAGGAATCTTCCAGAACTCCAAACTCACTCCCTTTGAAGACTAGAAGCTAAACGCCCTTGTGGATCAATCACAGGTTAGGGGAAGGGAGAGTGGGGAATAATGGTTACTTTACACACAGGAAGCCCAAAGAGCATTTTTCACATTTTGTAGCTCGGGCCTCCTGTGGAACTTCTTGGAATATGGCCTTAATCAGCTTTACAATTAGTACTTATGAATATGTCAAGCACAAGTTGGAAAGAAGTTAAAAAACTATGCGTTGAAAAAAACAGTTCCTGGAAAGCGGAAAGCGTAGCAGGGACGGCGGAACCATTTTTAAAGTGTGTCGGTGTGTATGTAAAGGGGAGGGGAGGGGGGGGGACTCTCCCTGTTTTGAGGTTTTGAGGTTAACTTTTTTCTTACTCCTGGGCAAAATATTAATGTAATTCTCATATTCTCATTCTCCCTCGTAGCCACTTTAAGGGGCGTGGTCAAAACAATGGTCCAAATTAGGGACCCGATTTTATGAATTAAGGTGGTGGGTACAGGTACATACCCCCTCCCCCCTCAGAGACCTGTTCAAATGCTCGATACTGGGGGTGTGTAGTGGCAATTTCTATACTCAAATATGTTTTTTAGCATACATACAGACAAACAGTCCATATATTTCTGTGATTTGGCTTTTAGTTTTGGAGATATTTGGAAGCAAAATCCAAGATTTCACTTTGAGAGGTTTTGCCCTCATTCCTAAGGAAAACAGTTACCTCGGCAAAATGTCACAAATGTCCCTCAAAACGCTGGAAATCGCATTTCTAAGGTATGAATTTCTTGTTGCCCCCGACATTGCGGTCCCTTGCCTCGGTTAACATGATTTTTCAGTCTGGCTACGCCTCTGATCAGTAGGTTAATCTGTTATTATACTTATTCAACTTGATTGACACATACCCTAATTTGCCAAAGCATTCGACAAAGTCGACCATAAGATCTTCTTAAGTAAGCTAAGAACGTACGGCATTGGTGGGATGCTCCTGAACTGGTTCAAGGACTATTTAAATGGTCGTTCTCAAAGAGTTGTGGTCGACAGTGTTGCATCTTCATTGGCTCCAATCACCTACGGAGTACCTCAAGGCAGCATTTTGGGTCCTCTTCTTTTTGTTTTGTTTATAAACAATCCTCCTGATGTCATTCCCAAGGAAACTACGGCTGCTATGTACGCTGACGACACCAAGATATTTCATAAAGTTACTTCCCATCTCGACTGCGAAGACCTAGAGAATGTACTTTCTAGGCTTAATGTTTGGAGCTTCAACAACAACATCAAATTCAATGGCTCCAAATGTAAGCTACTGACAGTGACACGCAAGAAAAGTCCAATCCTGCATAGTGATTACCACCTTGGCGCAGAGGTAATCCAACGTACACAAGAGGAAAAAGATCTCGGAGTCACCATCACACACAAGTAGCCTTAACTGGGACAAGCATATTAGAACCGTCACAGCCAAAGCTAACAAGCTTCTTGGTATGCTTAAGAGGACATGCCCTCAACTGACTGATATACAATCATACAAACTTTATCGAAGCTCCCTTTGACAGGGATTTTTATCCACAATGTAACATAAATAAAGTATAAAATAATTTACAATCCGTTAAAACTATATACATACAATATAATTATCAAAACTATATACGAAAACTTAATTATTCGAAATCTATGAAGGATAATCTATAAAAACTACAAATACTAATCTAATCTAATATGTAACTACCTTAATTTCAGGCGATGAAATATGCCTTTTGCCTTCTTATATGCCAAATAAAAAGACAAAAATGATAAGAACACAAATTGTTTTCTATTTTGAGGCAGAGTCAAACCTAAGAGGAAAAAAAGATGATGATTCAAAATAAAGGTAATGACAATCTAACGACGGAAGTTAAGGTAGTAACATACCACAATCGTAAACGTATATTTATCGTATTCACACGTGGTCTAATGGTTAGAATTTGGTGCTGTCACCGCCGTGGGCTGAGTTCGATTCCCGCTGTGGAAAACAATTTTTGCATAATTTTCCCACCAAACAATAAATAAAGGTAATTACAAAAAAAATTGCCTTGTAACAGAAGGAGATTGGAAAGTCGAAGAGTATTAATGTGGGGGGAAACGGTACTTGAAAAGGCGTGGAGAAAAATGGCAGAGACGCCTCATAGCTCGCGTTGAAGCCGAGTACAAGAGTTGGTTTCCGTAAGGAAAAGTATTGGAGAAGTGGTTACACTTACATCGACATTGGAAAAGTAAGTGCGAAGTTCTGGTATGGATACAGCTTCACAGCGTTACAGCTTATGCCTCGCAGAAGAACGCCGTACTAGTAGCCGGGCTTTGGGGATAGTGTAAGCCTCTTGGATCGAGTGCACGCCAATGGTGCGTTCGGGGAGACGTTGTGAAAGTTGGGCAAAGAAGGCAAAGTCTGGATTTTGGGTTCACACGGCCAAAGACTGCTTGTGATCTTAACTGTTGATAGTAAGCTATTGTATTGAGAGGGAGCCTGACAAGAAATAACAAGACATGGCTTTACTAAGTCTTGCAAATGGAATTAGCACAGCTGAAAACCTTTAAGGAGGATCCGTTGGAGGGCAAGTCTGGTTTTTGAGTTCACACGGTCAAAGTCTATGTGTGAACTTAACTGTTGATGGTAAGGTATTGTATTATATTGAGAGGGAGCATGACAAGAAATATTTAAGCAATAGAAAACTTTTTCCGTGTTTACATAGCCTGATAGCAATACGAGGGGAGGTTGGGAGAATTCGAGACAGTTATACAAACCCGAGACGTAGTCGAGGGTTTGCATAACTGTCGAGAATTCTCCCAACCCCCCGAGTGTTGCTATCAGGCTATGTAAACACAGAGAAAAAAGTTTTCTATTGCTTTTATAAAATAAATACTAAGGGAAAACATTACCACTTGCAAGAAAATAAATCTTTATTTGAATTTGATTCTCATATCAAAATACAAATTCTCCATACATCACGAACTTCGAATTCGATCGTTAGCCAATCAAATTTTGTGTAATAAACGCCAAGGAGGCAAATGTGAAGCGAGAAAGAATCGCTAGCTATTTTAAAAATTTATCATTCTAAGACTTTAAAACAAATACAAAGAAATGTCCAAAGATTGAGTAGAAATCTTAATAAAAGATTTCAGACTTGATTATCTTTACGAAAGTGATCAAAAGTGGATAACAAGTGTCACTGTGAATGGAATTCTCGGTTGAAAGAAACGTGGTTTTGCTCAATTTGACAGCGAGAAAGCATGTCAGCGAAGTTGATCGTTTCGTCTTGCCTCGAGAAGATATTTTGTGGAGCTGAAGAGCTATCGCTGGAAAAAGTTTGAAGCTGCTGACTGTTTCCTTGAAATACTTGTATTCTTTATCGGGCGGTGTGACGTTGTTTGCGTTCGGCGAGCGGTTTGATCGACGAATAACACCTTTCTGATCAACAATCTTAAACTTTACTTTAACCTTTTCTTGTTTACATCGATTTACATTGATCAACAATAAAAAAGGGATCACAAATGGGAATCAAAGGGATCATAAAGGATCATAAAGGGTCATAAAGGATCATAAAGGGTTCGACCATTTGCCCGCCAACCTCCCTT